GTTGAATTTTAAGTACAGGTTTCCCCTGCTATCCAAAAGTACAGTGTACCTGTGAAATCTTTTTGAAGTCAAAATGGCATAAAGCAATTACCATTACTTTATTTGGAAAAAGTTTTGAGTGTTCCCAGACCCAAAAAATAACCTCTTTTTGGCTTTTCTGATATTTTAGGACATATCTTGCTAATGGATGCACAAAATAAATCAAGATAAAGCATAGATGCTATGGCAAAGCTATGGCATCCTGATGCTGAGTGTAGTTCCTGGGGAAGGAGCTTGGTGGTGCCACTTTTCTCGGGATGTGTGCTGCCTCTAATGGCTCACTGCAAAACATGCTGAATGCTATTTTTGCTTTTTTCATAAAAGCAAAAATTCTTTGGATTTCCTTTAGCTGGTGAAAACAGTATTAATGTAGGTCTTTCATAAAAGCAAAGTGCATAACATGAACTTTCAGAAAGTGAGGGATACATATGTACTTCATAAAAGATAAATGGGCTTCTTGATCAATTTACTTTATTAGGGCAGATTAACATGTCTCATAACAGCTTTAAAATTCAGGAGGTATAAGAACAAATGATACAATGCCAGTGGAAAAGAAATTTTAGAGTGAAATATGAAAATACATTTCGGGCTGGAATCCTTTATTTATCTACCCTTCAGCCTAGTGGGGAATGTTTTTGGGTTGCAGATTCAATAGATGGGAGTTTTAACTCTTTATGTTTAATTTCAGTGGGGGAAAGAAGCCATAGTTTGTGTGTTAATGAAATAGACTATAGATATGAAAGCAGAGGGGGAAAGTGATAGAAATATCTTGTATATTCAAATCAATCTCAAATTTTCATAATATTTATTGTGCTCTGGGTCATGGATTACCCTGAAAGACAGATAATAACTGTGGCTCCTTTTCCCAGGAATATAAATGCACACTTCCAGTTGTGTAAACCATTTGTTGATGCAGCCATTGCCTTCTTCCCCTTAGTCCAAGTTCTTGATAGAAAACTACCCTGGAATGTTAAACCTTGAAAGCTATTAGAAATCATCTAGACCAGTATTACTTAAACTGTGTTTATGAAATCAGTGGAATGAATCAAGACCAACATTAAAAAGAAAAGAGTAAGATAGAAAATATCTGTACTATCATAACATGCTAAGAGTTTTTGTTTTGTGAACATTTCCATTTGTGGGTGGGTGGGTGTGTGTGTGCGTGCTAGTACTGAGTCTGAATATAAAATACATTTCTTACTGAGGATTCAAGGTAAAGATTGAGAGACATTCATCTATTCTAGAGAACCTCTTCATATTGTAGCTGAGGAACTTGATGCCCTTAAAAGCTAAATGATTTGTCAGACTCCCCTCCCCTTCAACACACACACACACACACACACACACAATCAATTTTTTGTGGCTGAGCCAGGACTGAACCACATTACTTGATTGCTAGTTTTGCTGTGCCGCAATACTAATTTTTTTGAAATAGAATTGTGAAGTAGATTATTTCAAAAAATATATTAAGTGGTTCATCTGTTTCACACTTGGCATTCTTTAATCCTTTACTTTTCCCACTAAAATGATCTCTGTTGTTTTCCTATGAAGTAACCTGAACTTGGCGTGCCTGGGTGGCTCAGTTGTTAAGCGTCTGCCTTCTGCTCAGGTCATGATCCCAGGGTCCTGGGATCGAGCCCCGTGTCGGGCTCCCTGCTGTGCAGGAAGCCTGATGCCCTCTCTCCCTCTGCTTCTCCCGCCCTGCTCGTATTCTCTCTCTCTCTGTATCTCTGGGTCTCGAATGAATAAATAAAAATATCTTTTAAAAAAATAATAATTTGAGCTTGAGCTTCTTTTTCAAAAAATATTTTGAGGCCTCTTGGTTGGCTGTCCACACACCTGAATCCTAGAATTTTGACATTTAGGGCCTAATCGGAAGAATTTCAGAGTAAGACATCAAGGTTAAGTTTTATGACCAAACCAAATTAATTATTTTGAATTATTTCTTCATTCACTTGATAACTGAATGCGAAACGTGGCTCCAGATGTTGATACTGGATCACTGGGAGACCGGGTAACCTTCTTTATTTTAATCTTACGTGAGACTTTCCCAAACTTGAATGTCATACAGATTGCCTAGAGGGTCTTGTTAAGATGCACTTCTGATCCGGACTCTGGGTGAGTTTCTGGACTTCTAGCAGGTTCCTGGGTGGTGCCGCTGCTGCTGGGCCAAGGGCCACACTCTCAGTCACAAGGGCTTTATGTTACCTGTCTTTTAAAACCATGGTAGGAAAACGAAGCTCTCAGGAAGTTTTCCATGTCTTGGTTTTATTAACATTTTCATGCTTTTCAAATTGGCTACAAAAATTAAAATTCAAATGCCATTTAAATTTTTTTAATTGGATTACTTTTTGTATTTTAGAACATATCTTTAAAACAGCCAGACTCCTGAGTCCCCACATTTCCCGAGTGACAGTGCCCCTCTTTGCAGCGTTGTTCTAGGGGATTCAGAATGAGCAGTGCTTCATGTAACTGGTATATTCAAGCTTTTCCACAGAACTTAATTTTCCAAATACCTAAAACCTTTAATTTCAGAAAAAACATGTTCTAAAACATATCTTTTTTTTTCTTAAGCTATTGCGTGCACTTGTTATTAATTAGTGGTATAGGAACACTGTTTGTTCGAGGCTTTCTTGGTAAAAGGTGTTGAACTGCATGTGAAATGAATAAAAGCCACAAAGCCTTCTAAGTTCTTGCATCTACTTTTTGTGCTTTTAGTATTTTATATGTCCATTTGACAATTATTAGTATGTCTGTCTCAAAGCAGCTCATTTCCGTTTCCAGTCTAATTGATCACTGTCTGACCTGAAATGTATGAGACTAATCCTTGTCAGAAGGACCTCCCTGTCATAGGGGTTTTCCTAGGAGGTTGGTGTCAGGAAGTTGAGTAGCACACATGTGTTCCTCTTTCATACTTTTCACCACATACTCTTAAAAACTATTCTGTCTCTCTCTCTCTATCATTGTGTGATTTGAAAGGGGGTGTGTGTGTGTGTGTGTGTGTGTGTGTGTGTGTGTGGTAGCCCTGTGATTGGGAACACACAATATTTGTAACCAATAAGCAGCACTTCAGGGTCCATCTAAAACAGGGATGAATAGCCTTGTGGTAAAGACCGTTGGCTCTCTTCTATATATATAGCCTGTCTTGTACTGGCTTTGCAGTTTTAAGAGTAATGATGACAATAAAGAGGATATTCCTTGGCTGTCTCATGATTTAGGGTCCCAGGGATTCAAAGTTTGATTTCATTATGTTCTCCTCAGTAGATTGTTAGTTATAATAACCAGCATAGTGCATTTGTTGAGTCCTCGCTCTGTCGGGTGCTCATTATTCAGATGAATGCTGTGTCACAAGCAGGGCTGTGGCCATGAAGGCTGCATTAGGTCTGGGGGACGGGGGCGGGCGGGGGGAGCAAATGGGTGCTGCACTTGGAACCAATGAGAGGAATCCAGATAGATAGATAGGGGTGAGATTAAATCTCCTCATTAGTCCCTCTTTAGAAATAAATAAGCATGTGTGGAGCCTGTAGCAGGTGTTTTGTTTTTTCTTGCTCAACAAAGCTAGAAATTGTTGGGAGATCCATGAAAACCACATACGTAGTAGTGGATAGTCTGATTCAAAGCAGAGAGAACCTGTTTGCATTTTAACTAAGCAGCATCAGACCATTTATCATTATGAATAGCCTTATTACTGGTTTTGTGTTAGAAGTTGTGGATTATATTCTTTAAAATTATGACAAGTTAGGGGCGCCTGGGTGGCTCAGTTGGTTAAGTGACTGCCTTCGGCTCAGGTCATGATCCCGGAGTCCCGGGATCGAGTCCCACATCGGGCTCCCTGCTCAGCAGGGAGTCTGCTTCTCCCTCTGACCCTCTTCCCTCTCGTGCTCTCTCATTCTTTCTCTCTCAAATAAATAAAATCTTTAAAAAAAAAATAAAATAAAATTATGACAAGTTAAATGTAGCCATAACATTTAGGTTGGATTTTGAGATCCTGAGCAGGGCCCATCTGACATATTTTCAGGGAATTATAACCTTTAAATACAGATTTGTCTAATTTGAATCTTATTTTTTATATCTAAAATTTGCTTCAGTGCAGGTAAACCTACTGGTATAATCTTAGTCTAATTGAAAAGTATTTTCTGATCTGGGACTCCTGTCAAAGATCATCATAGGAACTAGATAATGTTGGGAGGTAAAATGAATACATGACCTCATCTCTCTTCTTTTGCACTAGACTATAATGTGCATTCAAAGAGCTGGAAAAAGAAAAACAGCATTCCTTTCCATTAAGCTGTAATAAGTGTGTTGTTTAGTATGGTTTAGCTATTAATAATCCCTTTTAGCGGGAAGAAAGGAGGATTTTGTTTGAAGTATTTGAAACTAAATGCTGCCGGGATAAAGATTTTACTAGAAATACAGAGTAGATATCGGTCTCTACCCTTTGTTAATTGGTCCTGCTTGTTTAACTGGGGAAATAAAAATGTACATCTACTGAAGAGAAATTTGTGAGCACAAACTGTTCCTTTCCTGTTTGCAGATCTATTTCATAGGTTGTTTATCTTATTTTAATATGCAGTAATACTGGAGACAACAGAATGCCACTGCTGTTCCTTTAATATCAGAGCTCTGCATGTTACAATAGGTGTCACTGTTTTGCTTGGTCCAATCATGATTGGTGACTTCAGCTATTGGCTCTGAGCACTGGCTGTCTGACTCCATCTGCAGGGCTGTAATACCTACTCTCCTCCCATCCATTCACCACACAACTTCAGCCGGCTGAACAGACTCGCTCGGCTCCAGCACATCTTGCTAACCTAATTCAGAAAACAAGTGCGACAGCTCGCTGCCTGTCATCTTCGCTCAGTGTAGCATTTTCAGGTGATCTAGGAAACTGGGTTATCTTTATGAACAAATAAGAGAAATAGGAATCATGATGGAGATGTATTTAGCAGACCCAGTACTGGATAAAACTTAAAGCCAGTTTCTATTCAACATAGTGAAAAGGTCACCTTGTCCAGCTGAGAAAAGAAGCAAAATAGCAGCTTGTTGGTTTCTGTTAACATCTTGGCTCGTGCCAGCCTCTTTTCCTTGATGTTTGCACCAATTTGGGCTATCTAGCTATAAAGAGAGACATACTGTACTCATGGTAGATGACAAGGAAAAGAACATGAAATGTCTCACCTTCTTCTTGATGCTTCCAGAGACAGTAAAAAATAGGTCCAAGAAAAGCTCGAAGAAGACAAATACCAGCAGCAGCAGCAGCGGCAGCAAGTTGCCCCCAGTTTGTTATGAAATAATCACCTTGAAGACTAAAAAGAAGAAGAAGATGGCTGCTGATATATTCCCGCGTAAAAAACCAGCCAACTCCAGCAGCACCACTGTCCAGCAGTACCACCAGCAGAATCTCAGTAACAACAACCTTATTCCGGCCCCAAACTGGCAGGGTCTCTACCCCACCATTCGAGAAAGGTAAGTGCCCAGCCAGCATATTTGCTTTAAAAGTTTTCCTGTGTTGAAGTTTCTGCTTTTGCACAACCTGTAATGTATTTTAACATAAGTCTGTGTTTCCTCTTTTCCCAGAAGCTTTATCGGTAATGGAAAACTGCCTTGTATCTTTTCCAAAATAGTACAGCTGTTTTCCTCTTAGATAAAAATGTTTTTGCAAGCTGTGACATTTAAGTGACAGGCTTGTGTCTACTGACCATGGAAGGTTTGGAGATAGAAACCTTCTATTTGTCCTTAATCTAGTGAAAAGTTTCAATAACTTTTTCATTGGTTTTTTTTTTTAACTTTAGTTACTTCCCATGTGTTTGCAATGATCACAAATAGTTGTTTAGTTGGAATCTTGATTTGTAGTTTTACCCTGAAGTTACTAAACTTGCTTAGCTTGTGAATCTTTTGTGGGTTTTGTATGTTGGGGAGGGGGTGTTAAAACTGCTGGCTGCTGTGCATTAATGAATTGCCTCTGTTTATAGAAATGCAGTGATGTTCAATAATGATTTGATGGCAGATGTACATTTTGTGGTTGGGCCACCAGGTGGGACTCAGCGGTTGCCAGGACACAAAGTAAGCAACAGCTGCATTACTGGTTTAGTGCTGAGATTTACAAAGAGGGACCCTCTCCATAAGCCTGAAAGTTGGTTGGGGTGGGCAGCTTGCCGATGGCAGGCAGTGCGCGTTTCACCCATCACAGAGAAGGCACAACCTCTCCAAAGAGTCTTGGCCACACTTATTTTTTTTTTCCTTTGTTTCTTTCTATCCTGCTTTACGTCCCACACAAAAACATGCCCTCCTAACTCTCCAGTCATGGGAAGTTGTTGCGACAGGTTAGAAAAGTCATGTTTACCCTTCCCCTAGAAATTGGTTAGATAAGCTTTTATTTTATTTATTTATTTTGTAATGAGGGAACTTAGACATTAATCTCTTAAAGCCTTGAGGTAGTTAGCAGCATAAAGACTGACATGCGTGAATATCTATCTTCTCTTTTCACGGCAAGATAAACACTGTCCCTTGGCTTTGAAGAAAGCGCAGGTGTAGGTGCTCCACGTCCACTAAACCCTGATTGCTTAGAGTTGTTTTTCTGGACTGATTTACCGAAAATGCTTTCAGTTTAGTGTATGAAATAAGATTTCCCTTTCTCCACAGTATGTTTTAGCTGTTGGGAGCTCTGTGTTCCATGCAATGTTTTACGGAGAACTTGCTGAGGACAAAGATGAAATCCGTATACCAGATGTCGAACCTGCTGCTTTTCTCGCTATGCTGAAGTAAGCATCGTTTGTTTGTTTAGAAAGAGTTTATGCTGTGTTTGTGCTTTGCTGGTTTCTCAGTTAAATACAAGAAAGGGAGACTGATGAAGAAAGAGGGTGCTGCTTACCTTGTAAATGGTTTTTGGAGAAAACTACTGTGCATCTTTCCGGGGGGAAAGTATGTGGAATGGTGCAGGCGTTTATCATACACCTTGGCATGGTATTTGGGAGCAAGTGGCATGGATAGTGATTTGATTTTTAACGACTCACAATCAAAGAAAAACAACTTTCTCATGCAGGATTATTTAATAGTGCATGTTCTCTCTGACAGCATTGTGTATGAAGGAGTCTCTAAAGACACAAATTATATTTTTGTTTCACAATTCCAGAAATAATATACCTTGTTTAAGTACCACTAGTTAAGAGATTTCTCGGTTTTCTAGACGTTACTGTTTCCTGTCAGCAAATGTAAAACTTGCTGTATTAAAACAATCTGATATTTGCCCATACGTACATGTGCATACTCTTACATAAAATCAGATACCATTTCTCAAAGATAAAGAAGCATTTGCTTTTTGATAGTAGAGGAGACATTTTTGAGATGAATAGTTTTCTATAGTTTTCTATGTATTTTTATAGGAAAACTTTAATTGGTAGTATAAAAATGCAAAGCTGTAAGACATATACTTATTTAAAAAATAGTTTTCTATCTCATAGGTCTTTTTCAGAATCCAGTACATGTTGACCAGCTAAATAGAATCCGCTTTTCTGATGTGCACTGCTGTCGGACAGTGTGATAGTCTACCCTGTGATTAACATGCAGTGATTATTTCAAATAATGTTTTACGATTTTTGTTCAATCCTTCTTCTAGCACACCGGGTATATCCAGAGTCCAAGGTTATCTACTGCTGTAGGGATTTTGGTTCCCTAGAATAAATATGTTTGTTAAAAAAATTATTGTGTCAACAGGTTGGACGATAATCCCACAAATGGTTAAAAGGTTGCGAGATATTTATTGACTGCTCCTACTGAAAATTAAGTACTGCAGTTAATTGTAGAACTTAAAAGTATTTATTTATGTTGTAGTTTTGAAATCTAATTGCATCTGACTGAAACTTTCACAGTGGGAAATAGGGAAATTAAAGATAAGTGAGCATGTGAAGTACCAAAAGGTAAACTAATTCACCACTTCGAAATAACCAACATTTAGTGACCTTTCTAATCTTTTAGAGATACATGTACAGAAACCAGTTTTACCTGGGAAGGTTTTTGTTTTGTTTTGTTTTCCAGTCAAGTGAGCTTTGTATGTTTGACATTGTCTCTCGCAGAGGAGAACGCGAACACTGGTTCAGCATTTTGACTGCACTGCAGTCCAGCAGAGTGTTGTGTTGTTTCAGCCAGAGAGATACATAATTAAGGAACACGAGTAGAATTACAGAATTACATTTCACCCAAGTCATTCCATTTGCATCTTTTCTTAAAAATGTATTACCTAGAATCTATCTCAATACAGCTTTTTAAAATTATACATGCAGTCCACCAAAAGTGGTAAGAATCAGAAATGTAGTAGGGTGCTGTTTGCCGTTGGGCCATAGTTGATCAGGACTGCACTGTCGCCACCAGTAGTGGAGGCCAGTTTTTCCAGACAACTGCGTTGTATGGCTGAGTAGCCAGTATTCCTAGAAAGGGAATTGTCGAGAAAAAGGGAAGAGCGCTCACTTGACAGTTCCAGGGTAAGAGCCACAAGGTGCTGACCTTGTTCCAGATTCTTTGCCATCGTCCTGGTTCTCATGTCAGAGCATCACTGAGCTGCTGGTATCATGTGAGTCAGTCTTGGCCAGTGGTATATGGCTTAGCCTATCAGAAGAGAAAGAGCTTCCTGGGAGCAAAAATGAGGGTTCATTTGTGATTGTAGACATTTTTCTTATCATCATCACTGGGGTTTTTCACTCTCTTTGCAGAAGCCATTACTAATCTTTTCTTATATGTGTTTCATTGAGTTAAAATAGAGTAACTAAAGGAAAACTTCACAGCAAGTAGCTAAACACCTTAGCTTTAACTGGAAAAAATTAAAAGTTAAGTGTTATCAGAATGTATTTTTCACCTATATGTAGTTCTCACTGACTTTTTCTTGGACTCATCCATGGCAATCTAAAAGAAGCAGATGATTTTTGCTTTTACATACCATATTGGGAGACTGCCACCATCCCCCCAAATTACCAAGAAGTGTTTTATCTCCTGACATAGGGATACTTTATAGAATCATAAAAATAGTGCATATTTGGGCTTTCTTGCTTTTGTCTTTTATTTAAATATATCCAGAAATAATACATTCTTTAATTCTGAAGGTAGAAGAAATGTGGGGAGGAGAGAAGAAAGAATTTAGAGTTTAAAAAGAAAAAAAAGCCAGATACAAAGCCTATGTTGGATTCTATGTAAAGGCAACTGGAAGATAATTTTGAAATCCATAGATGATAATCTGTTGAACTTAGAACTACTTGAAAAATATCTTTCTTAATCTCAGGTTTTATTTTGTGTTTAGCGAAAATTCAAGTCATACTTAGTTAAAAGAATTAAGGTGTAATCATTGCCAACATAGTATTAAAGGCATTTGTTTCTATCTGAATGTACAGAAAATTTTAAAATAAAACTATGTATATATATAGAGAGAGAGAGAGCACTTCTGAAATATAAGGAGATTATTCTTTTTTTTAAGAGTTTATTTTATTTATTTGAATGAGAGAGAGAGAACACAAGGGGGTGTGGAGAGGGACAGGCTCCCCGCAGAGCAGGGAGCCAGACAGGACACGGGGCCCTCTGGACTCGATCCCAGAACCCCTGGATCATGACCTGAGCCGAAGGCAGATGCTTAACTGACTGAGCCACGCAGGCGCTCAGAGATGATTATTTGATTAAATAAAATATGGTGTATTTAACAAATTTTTCCCCTTTTTTTTTGTTAATACTAACTCTGATACACAGTTTTTTTTTCAAACAGTTCTAGTATCTTCTGTTTTTTTGAGAAGACATTGAATGCAGGTTATAAAATAGAGGCTAGAATGGTAACACAAAGTTAATGTCTTTAATTATACAGACTTACTGCTGAGTTGAAATATTAATAGTTTATGAACATATTTCAGATGTTTCTTTACTCCCTAATCATTTTTGTAATAACTGTCACATAAGATGATTTTCTTGGAACTAACTTGAAAGTAGTTGCATCTTTTCTTGCTGGACACGCTCGTTTTGTGAAAATTCCATTTATATGCTGTGTGCTGTCTTTCAGATATATCTATTGTGATGAAATTGACTTGGCTGCTGACACAGTGCTGGCCACTCTTTATGCTGCCAAAAAGTACATCGTCCCTCACCTCGCCCGCGCCTGCGTTAATTTCCTGGAGACCAGCCTGAGCGCCAAGAATGCCTGTGTGCTTCTTTCCCAGAGCTGCCTGTTTGAGGAGCCAGACCTGACCCAGCGTTGCTGGGAGGTGATCGATGCCCAGGCTGAGTTAGCTCTCAAGTCTGAGGGATTCTGCGATATCGACTTCCAGACTCTAGAAAGTATCCTCCGCAGGGAAACTCTGAATGCCAAAGAAATTGTGGTTTTTGAGGCAGCTCTCAACTGGGCTGAAGTGGAATGCCAGCGGCAGGATCTAGCTTTGAGCATTGAAAATAAACGCAAGGTCCTCGGAAAGGCACTTTACTTGATCCGCATCCCCACGATGGCCCTAGACGATTTTGCAAACGGTGCTGCCCAGTCTGGAGTTTTAACTCTCAATGAGACCAATGACATTTTCCTCTGGTACACTGCAGCCAAGAAACCCGAGTTGCAGTTTGTGAGTAAAGCCCGCAAAGGCCTCGTCCCCCAGCGCTGTCACCGCTTCCAGTCATGTGCCTACCGGAGCAACCAGTGGCGCTACCGGGGCCGCTGTGACAGCATCCAGTTTGCAGTTGATAAGAGAGTGTTCATCGCTGGCTTTGGGCTGTATGGCTCCAGCTGTGGCTCTGCGGAGTACAGCGCCAAGATTGAACTTAAGCGGCAGGGCGTTGTTCTAGGGCAGAACTTGAGCAAGTACTTCTCAGATGGCTCCAGCAATACCTTCCCCGTGTGGTTTGAGTACCCAGTGCAGATTGAGCCAGACACCTTCTACACAGCCAGCGTGGTACTGGATGGCAATGAACTCAGCTACTTCGGACAGGAAGGCATGACGGAAGTTCAGTGTGGCAAGGTGACTGTCCAGTTCCAGTGCTCCTCGGATAGCACCAATGGCACTGGGGTGCAGGGTGGGCAGATCCCGGAACTCATATTCTATGCTTGAAAACCCCTCCCGAAGCAGTGTGAGCTCTGAGGTGCACATCTGGTTCCCACTCGCTTGATGCTTAGCTCATCTGCAGATACGTGATCAGCGCAGGTAATTCGTAATGAACGAAGCTATAGGCAGTTTCTGATTTCTTTCAGCCTTTTAATTATGTACAGGCAAAAATGCAGCATTCAGCTTTTAACTATATGCTTAAAAGAGCCAAGTTCTTATTAAGGCTTTGTGGTTTTTAGAGTTGCGTCTATACACCTGGGAAGAATTTGTGCTCTTTTCCAACTGCGCCACTGACCTCCCAGTTTTGTCCCTTTTAAAATTTTCAGGATCACCCTGAATTTCCTTTAGGGCTTTATTTTGACATAGAAATAAATACTCTAAAATAATGATAAGAGTTATTTTTAAAGAAAACCCCCACCCCAAATTACAGGTAAACCTCAGTGTACAATTTTGAAAGAAGTTTTGCTTCATAAGTAATAATTTAGAAAGTAGGCAGTAGTTATGTTTAGCTCTTATTTCATTTTAAATAGTTTACTCTGGGCATTATTTTTTCTTAAATCCTAAATTCATAAGATTGTTAAATGTTAAACACTGCAAAGTATCCTTGTAAAATAGGAAAACAGGAAATGGGATGTTTGCTTAGGCCATGACCTACTACAAGCAGGTTTTTATTCTTTTAGTTTAGAAGACAAACTATTGCAATACAGATGCTTCTTTTAGAACTAACTAAATTACACATTTTTATTGTCAATAGGGAAAAATCACAGGCCTATTAATTTAAACTAAAACAGCTTATAAAGGAGACCTTAAAAAGTCCCATTCTACAAATAGTTTATTTCATGGCATAATAGAATACACCGTTTGAAAAAGCCAGTCTTCTCCCCACTTTGCTTCTGATCCCCACTGTTTGCTTGTTTTTGTAAGTTATACTGTATAGAATTCTTACTCCCTTTTTCCCATGAAAAGAGGACCAAACAGTTCTTCAGATGTATGGAGTAACAATTAGCTTTGTAGCACTACATGTTAATGTAATAAGATACTTTTATTCATTGATTTTTCTTTTTTTTAATCAGAAATACACTTCATCTGATCTACTTTGACCACATACTATCTTCTTCGTTAATTACAATTATGTCCTGTTCCTAGACTGCTAGAATTTGGCCTTAGGCCATCCTTGAAGTGCCAATAAACGCCTGCAGGGTTTTAAAAAAAAAAGGTCTGGAGCGATATACTTGATTGTACCTAATATTCACTGCATCAGCATCACATCCAGCCCTCTTATTTGTACATGGTTAATGCAAACAAAGGAGGGAAAAGCTCATCCCAAAATTCTCCTTCAGTGATGGCTTGTGATGGTTTTGTGCCTGTGACCCTGGTAGTGTCCAATGTGTTCACTTCCAGCTGAAGCATCCATGTGTTTCTGGGCAGCTTTTCTGCTCAGCGTGATCCTGAGATGGCTTCCCCCACCACCCAGAGTGTGGTCCCTGGCCGCCTCCTTCTCCTGCTCTGCGAGTCCCAAGCTGGCTTGTCTGGAGCCAGGGGTTAGTCCTGGGGTGGGCGGGTGTGTGCGCATCGTGGGCGTCCGTGCACGTCCATGTGCATGCAAGTGTGTTTGCCGACTCAGGAATTGTCTCCTCCCTGCCTGGCCAGTAAGAGGTGGGACAGAAATGGTCCCCCTGCTGGCCTTAGCAAGGCCCCAGGAAGTGACTACCCTTATCTTATTCACTGTGCTTCTGGGCCACCTTTTCCCCCCCGTAGATGTGGGTTTGTTGCTTTTGGCTGGCTTCCCTGGTGGAGGAGAACACTGGATTATGGGAAATGTTTTAATCATGTTTGCCATTACCTATGCCTGTTAGCATAGATGATCAAAAGCTGTTACTGGTGATTGTTGATGAGTACTCCCAGGACAACTTTCCAAAATTATCTAACAATTATTTCTTATTAGGAAGATGACAGTAGTTTTGGCAAAGTATCTATGAAATAAAGGTATGTTTTCAATTTAAAAAACACTGCTATAAAGGATTTTGCTTTTAAATTATGATGAAACATTTCAGTAACTCATAGCTACCATGCAAATTGGTAGGCTGTATACCTGATTCGAAGGCACTCATTTTTAAGCCAGAGGAGAAGAAACTTGATTTAGCACTAATGTCATCATCTCAGATTGTTGAGGTGGGTGTGATAACCTTAGAGTGAAGATTGTTCATTCAGTAACGCTCACTGTCAGTGCTCCTGTTAGCAAGATGCCCTCCACATGAGTAGGGAACTGCTGGGGGAAAGCCGAGAGAGATCCTGTACACTGGGGGTATGAGAGCTTGGTTTTATGTTAATCACCATTAGCTAAAAAAGAGAAGACATGTCCACCACCCGGTTGGCTGGTGTCGAGAGCTGTGGGTTAAATTTGAAAATTGTATTTAGAATAAGAAATTTTGTATTTTAAATCCTGTTCTCCCTTTTTGCATTTTCAACAACATGGAGTGAAAGCTAACATGCTTCCTTTATTTTCTTTGGTAATCTCGAATTTTGTAGCTTTTAAAACTAGAAACCATTGTTCTGACAAGGCAGGCAACTCTAGTGTATAAACACAACTTTATTAAACAGAATACTCTGTAGATGCTTTTCCCAATATACCTGGCAGTCTTTGTTGTTGTTCATACTGGGGATAAAGGGGAACTAGGCTAGCCGTTCTAATGTAACATTCTTTAAGCATATCTTAATATAGTATTTAAGTAAATGGTCTAATTTCTACATAATTATTGCACTGAACTGTCTTTTTGTTTTTTAAGGTGTTTAAATAAGCTCGGCTGATTCAAGACACTAGCACTTGTGCATCAGAGTGCTTGAATTTAGTAGCTTACAGCATTATTTATGAAGGAAAAATATATAAATATGAAGTACCTCATGTTGAATGTTATTGTACTGTATTTTTAATGTAACAGTGCAGATCTTGTTAGACACATGAATGTGTATAATCATGTTAAATGCAAATAAAAATAAAATTGGTTCATAGATTTGTTTTCCTTAGCATTTTTGTAGGTCCCTTGAAACAATAAAAAATCCATTCTGGCCCTTTTGGTGCCACTGCATTTTACAGAGATGGTTTTGCAGGAGCATTTGTTTGCTAAGTATTCAGATAATCTTTGATCCCTAAAGATGTAAAAATTTGAGGCAAAAGCATAGGAGAACAATGAATATGTTAATCAATCGCATTGTTCAAAGCCTGACTGTGAAGTTAATGAGAGGAAGTGAATGGGTGCATTTATATTCCCTATATGGAACTCATGCTTTGCTGGCATTCTGATGCTATAGTCACTCACATATCTGTGGATATGGCTGTACTAAGGGGGTGTGGATACTGAATCACATCTAGCTTTAGATGTAACCAGTGCTGCTTGTTCCTGCTTCTTATACTAGCTTAAGTCTCTGAATGAAAAAAATAAATGTCATATGAGAATTTTGAATATAATTTTTATGTGCTTAGCTACTTTTCCATTATATTTGTCCATATCAAGTAATACATATACACACACGCACACACATTCATACATAATTATATATACAAGGGCATATATTTGTTTAATCACTTCATCTATTCAGCCTCTGTAGCATACCTGCTCAGAGGATTTTTGGAATTATTCCAGAGAATAAACTGGAAATACTCATTCTAATCAGCTTAATTACAGATACAACCTAAATTGCAAAGGTCTTTAATCCAGGAAAGTCAGCTGTTTTCTCAGTTGCTATTTAAACTTAATCCACATGTGGTTGTTTTCAATATCCCAAAACAATTGGAAATGATCCTCCTTTGTTGGCACCCAGGATCAACCTGTTACGGAAATTATACCCTTCTCCCTGTGGACTCGATGCCTTGCCTACAAAAGCCATGAACTTAAACTTGGGAAAAAATAGAAAGGAGGAAAGTACTCTTGAGGAACTAAATCGTATGAAACATAGAGGCCGAAACAAGCAAGTGGCCCTGGAAACCTGTGGTTACCCTAAGTATTCATTAGAGTAGGACTCTGGGCACCTTTGAGATGTGTCGATGGAAGTTGACTACACTTTCGATTTCGAATTAATACATTTCAACATCTTTTTCTGAGCCATTTACATTTATTGACCAACTACTCCCTTTGCTCAACACTTCATGTCATTCTCCACCTTTTAAAATATATCATCTAGCAAAACAAAAAACTGGGGAAATTTTTCAAAAATAGAATTCCCTCAGTTATTTCATAATATAACCACCTTAAGCACTGGTGAAAAGACCTCAATCAAGATACTGCCCTGTGGGTGAGATGGAAGTATTGGTGAGGAAGAGTTGGAAGACATGGTTGACCTGGTCCCACACCAGGCAGCATAAGCCACTAGCAGCATAGATCAGTTGCTGAAGAACCTTTGGTTGCATCTCTAAGTTGGGCATCTCCCCTCTCTGCTCCCTCTCTTAAGCCTTTTTAGAGGGAGCATGGCAGGGGAGATGTAATTCCCATCAACGCCAACTCTAATCTTACAACCCTTGTTTTCTGTTTGCCCGTTCATGTTGATGACCATCGGACAGCAGTTTTACTAGCAGATGCAATTTTATATTCTGCCATCTATAAAGTCCTTAACCTCAAGATAAATAGTTAAACAAAACACCTGCTTTTTACTTTGTCTAACCTTTTGTGTACTGGATGTGATTCAAGTGATCTATTCAACTATCAGCACTTTTGGTGTTAGTTTGCCCCAACTGATTTCTCTTTAAGCTGGTTTTGGTAGTAACCAGTCTTAACTGCTACGAAGGCAGGAGAGGCTTTGTGTCAGACCTCAAGAATGGTATCCTTTTTCCCTTTGTGGAACAACAGTGCCAGAAATTATTTCAAAATTCAGGCACTTTTTTTGTTGTTTATGACATTGGTGAGCAGTTTATATTTAACAGACTATGTCTTAGATCAGCTTGTTTTAGAGGAGTGAAATTGTACCTGAAAAAAGTTGAAAAACAAGTCCTGCTAGTAGCTTTCTTAATTTTAGCATAAAGTGGTGCAAGAAAGCTTTCCAAGCAGCAGATAGCATAAAGACTGTTGTGAGAAACCAGAGAACCTGAGATATTTTGATATGGAGCAGTCTTTACCGTGGCTGTACAATTTGCATTTTCCTTCCTAAACTATATTCAAAAAATAGTCAAAAGAAAGACAATTTAAGGAAAGCTGCATATCTTTCAGAGCTTGAAGCAGAGGGTACCACCTGCTGTACAGTAGAATACATAAAAACGTACTTTTGAGAGACACTGTGCATTTTTGTGCTTTTCTTGATCAGCCCTAAACTTTAAATTATTTCATTGCCCCTAAGAATAGTGCCAAAATGCCCTAGCCAGTTCAAAACTAAAGACAAATTCCAATTCTTAAGAATATTTGGAGGCATTTATGGAATACTCCATGTTTCCTAGATAAAAGACGTTAAGGTTTAATGAATCAAAAGATTAACCCAATGTTCATTCACCCATTGACCATTTATTGATCCTTTGCTTTATCCCAGTCAGTAAGAGAGATCCTGGGGAGTCAGAGACCCAGTAAGATGTGGTATGTGCTCTCAAAAGGTCCAGGGCTGTGCTGCTTCACCCTCAGCATGCAGAAGAATCATGAATTGCGAGGCTCTATCCCCAGAAATTCTGATTGGGTAGGTCTGAGTTGAGGCCTGAGAAACTGCCCATCAGCAAGCTTCCATATGCTGCCGCCGCCATCTGTCATTCACATTTTGAGGGGCCCCTACAGGGTAGGAGAGAAATACCTTGGCTCCTCCTGGAGCACTGCAAAGGGCATCCAGATCAGTGGGAGAAGAGATAACGCTTGAGCTGGGGTGTTGAAGGATGCATTAGAATTATCTAGTGAAGGCTGGTGATGCCAGTTGGAGGGCGCAGGGAAGAGTGAAGGGAATTCTAGAAGAGAAACAGCAGAGCAGAAAGGCAACAGCTCAGCGTGGCTTAAGCAAAGGGACATGTGGAGGAACGAGGCCACCTACTGTGTGCCAAGTGTGGAGCCAGCTAAAGAACTGGACCTGAACACGAAGCACGTTAGCTAGGCTAATTTACCTGGCTTTTATCACAGAATGAAACAGTGGCATTGAAGACATTAGAGATAGACCAGAAAACAGCTTTACGTTTTAGAAACATCTTTCTAAGAGATGTTTAGAAACATCTTTCTGAACTCTGGGAATAATAAACTGGGTTAGACCAAAGACAGAAGTACTTAGGGCTGGGCTGGGAGTAATGCAAATGAAGACCGAAGGGCACCAGGGAATGGAGAAAATGATGAAGATTCTAGAAACATGGAAGGGTGATCCCCAGCATGCAGTGGTGTAGCATTCAGTTGAAAGAGGGCTTGGTGAAGAAGGAATGCCTTGCCTTACATTTATCAAAGGAGAAAAATTTGCTTTGTTTTGCTCTACCATCCTCTGTAGAGAATTGGTCTATAGATAACCACCCTTGATTCTAAGATTCTTTTAGGAAGAAGGGAAAAACAGTCAACATAGTGTACTGGTTCATAACACTCCAGAACTAGGCTACAGGGCTCTGGCTTCATGTGACTCCAGGCAAGTCACTTAACCTCTCTGAACCTCAGTTTGCTCAAGAAAGATGGCAATAATAATAGGGCCTTCCTCAGAGGGTTATGATGATGAGAGAAATTAAAATTTCGAAAGCACTTACAACAGTACCTGGCAAACGGTGCCATATAAGTGTTAAGTAAAACAAAATGTGAAAGGCCACAAATTAAACGTATGCATCTTTCTCCTATATGCCCTTATGAGAACTAGTTTACTTACCGTTTACACACACTTAACAAGTTGTCAGTGCAGACAATTCAAAAGCCAAAAGCATCATTTTGTTGCTGTTCTTTTAAGTCACTGGTCAATAGCTAAGGAGTATATAAAGCTTACAGGAGAGTTGTATTGTTCTGTACTGTTGAGGAATTCTCTCCTAGTTTCACCAAATTTCTTACAAGTATTTCAATTTGGTCATGTTAACGAGAGATAAATGATGTGGGTGGATTCTAGCACCTTTGATAGGATTCTTCAGAAAACTACTCTGTAAAAGCTGACTATGAGTACATAACAAGTGTATGAGAGACACTTTGAAGACATTTTCCAAGAGGAGTCTATTTGCAGGAAAAAAAAAAATATATATATATATATATATATCCCCTGTACAGGTTCTGTTAGAATCAAAAATAAGCCCTTTATTCTTGGCTTACAATCTTAGACAATTATGGATATCACCCCTTCTCCAGATATTTGGGGATTAAAATCCGTTTTAGTATTGAAATTATTTGTTGTATGTTGAAAGCAGGTTTGACCTTTATTTTGAGTGATGTGAACATCACAGGGGGCAATTGAATGGCTAATTGTCTATTCAAGTAAACACAGGTGTGCCCCAAGTACTGGCAACTCTTGAGTTTGCCTGCTCTTGCTGGCTGTTTGTCTCCCTTCTACTGCCTTCCCCGCAAACGTCCCCCCATCTGCAGACTCACCTCCTGAGCCAGTGCTAGGGCCTTATGTGACAAGGGCCCTGACATCAGCTAATTTCCGGTCCCTTGTTCAGGGCTGGATTCTCTGTTTTGCACAATAAGTCTTTAGGAGCCTCACTCCCCAGAGATTCTCATTCTGGGGCCACTTTTATCTGAAGCTCAGGGCAGGTGTAGGGATCCTGATGCCCATGAAAGGTTGGGAACCCCTGGTATAGACAAGCCTCCTGGAACCTTTCCTCACATCCGCATGGACATCTAGCTTCAGCACCTTGCTCCTTGCCGGTGATCCTGGGAACATACACTGTCAGAAATCAGTCTTGTGCTTATGCCCTGAACCCGTGAAGCTTGGAACTGGCCCTAAGCAAAACCACAGTCAGCATTAGTGGATGAAATAAACCAAGGGAATCAGAAGACCTAGCTTCTGACTCTCTAACTTCTTGACCCTGACCTCTGCTTGTTATTCTTGCTCTGGCCAGTCTTCCTGTACCCCCCAGTCCTCCATCTGAACCTCAAAAGCCCAGAGATCCAGTTTGTTCAGTGGTGCCCTGGTCCCAGCTCTAATCTAGTTGACCATGTCACCTGCCGAAGTTCTGATCACCATTATTAACTGGTCTTGGTGCCTTCCCATGTTTGGGACCCCGGTTCTGAGCTCCATCTCTGTAACCATTCCACTTCCTTCAGACATGTGCTGGCCCATGCATTCAACCTGCAGGGTCTCCTCTGCCAGTCAGATACTCCTGGCCACGGGTCCTGACAGAGCCCCCTGCCCAGCTCTTCGATTGCCCCCAGTCTCCGTTCTTTTCTTTTTACATTTGTGGCAGCTTCCCATTGCTCAGGTAATGCCTAACAAACACAAAATCTCAGGAGCACACAGCAATACATTTATGCTGTGGTGCCTAAGAAGAGCTGTGGGTTGTCTTGGCAGTTCTACATACTTGATTGGGCTCACTCACGTGTGGGTGTTGGCTGCCTTTGACTGTGGCAGCTTTGCTCTGATGGTCTCTCATCCTCCTGCAAGCTAGTCTGGGCATGGTTTCGTGGCAGTGGCCAGGGCACAGGAAAATCACCCGCAATGGGAAGAACCATGCCTGGCCTCTTGAGGCTTGGGTTCAGAACTTGTGTACCATCATTTCTGCATTCTGTTGGCCAGAAGCAGTCCCAAGGCCACCCAGAAGCAAGAGGTGGTGAATTAGATTCTACCTCTTTACTGAGAAGAACTACAAAGTCATGTAGGAAGGGCTGTGGATAAAAAGAAAAATATCGTATTGGGCCATTTATGCCATCAGTGTTGAAGGTGCCTACTTGTAGACCCTGTGCTCCTTTCTAACCTGGACCCCAGAGTCAATGCCACTCGAAGTTGCCCACAGAGAATCTACAAGCCCCAAAAGCATTAGTTATCATGAAGATTTTATAGGGGAGAGGAGGAGGAATCTTTCTCTTACACATAAACTTCCCAAATATCCATTTGGCAAATATCCTCACCACGTAGTTGGTTGATTCTGCTAACAAGTTGCCTCTTGGTCCCAATCCCCCAGGCACAACTATATCTTCCCATCAGATCACATCTCACCCCCCAGCTTTAGCTCCTCAAACCGGAGCCTTCACTTGGAGTAGTAGATGCCTCGTTAGTTGTGATATTGTCACTTAAATCACTTCCATTCTCATACACTTCCCCATTAGCATTGCTGTACAACTTAACTCAGAAAACCAGTCCCCTAGTAAAGCAAGAAAAGATGGTGGAGGTGGATAGGAAGGAGCATTTCCCTGTGTGTTTCTTCATTATCATTAACAGCAACACCCCTAGGAAATTTTACCTGGTCCATGGGCTTCTTCCAAGTGCAGGAAAATGGGGAGAGACTGCCGGACCTCAGAGGGTCAGGAAGGAAAGAGGAAGTTGTAGGTTGATAGAACAGCTCAGCCATCCCTTGGGGCCAGGAGGGACTGGAGAAAGAAGGTTGGCTGGAACAGGGAGAAAGAATTAGGTCTCAGGTAAGCAAGAAGTCTCCACACAGCTTTTCTACCTGGAGCCTCTCTCCCATTTCTCATTACGTTGGGAATTCCTGACCTGGGACCTACCCACAGTGTTTGATCTGGGGAAGTTCAGCAGGTAGGACAGTTTAGGGCGAGTGCACCAGCCAGAAGTTTGGGCATATCACTTACACTCTTCTAAGGTCTGTTTGCCAAGGGCTTGCTTAATCTGCTGTGCACATTGTGACCATATCACCAAGACCTCATCAATGGAACAGGTTGCTTATATGACCTTTCCAGCAATGGTTTGTCACCTCACATGCACATTTGTAAGTCAGCTGTTTACTGCTACTGGCCTTGGAATATGACCAATGCCCCTGATCCTGCTTCTGTTCCTTTCTTCTCTGAAGAACCCCTCCCTCACTAGTGCTCCTGGAGGAAAGCCTTGGACACTTTGTCTCTGTTTCTGTTCCACAGTACAAAAAGTTTTAACTACTGGAGTGTCCCAGATCCTTCCATACTGAGGCAGCGTACTTGGTTACCACTAGTAACCAGTCAGAATCTTGACTGCTGAAAGATTTGCTAAATCTGCCCACTCCTTCCCCAAATTTCAGATTTACTTGCCAAATAGGTTTATCAGAATTCCAAACAAATTCCATTTGTTTAGCCTTCCAACATTTACTTACCTTAAATAAAGAATTGCTGAAATAGAACAATTGTGATAGACTTTAAATATTTTCATATTCACCCATAACAGGTGTTGTTACCCCTTATAAAAATTCCATGACTGTAGGCATAATTTGGACTAGAGGTAACATTCAGTATGAATGGGAGTCACGTCACATGGTGGCTTCCCAGAGATTAACTCTGTCATCCACCCCAATTACAGAACTGTGACTGAATTTGAGCACCTCTTGGGACAAACCTCTTCATGTTAAAACTTCTCAACCCCCTCTCCTCCCTCCTCAACTACATTCAGGAAGAATGTACCTCCCAAGAGAGTACAATCCAGCAGAGTAAACGAGATCCATTTCTAGTAAGATTCCAGTGTTCAGACTGAATTGATGTGCAAGAACACTCTGTTTGGGGGTGTTTTGTGGATGTTCATGGTGGGTATTATTGCAGTTCTTCAATGTTTCATTTATTCAGAGTTCAGAAGACAAGTGGAAAATGAGCTAAGCTCTTCCCTGTAACTGCAAAGAAATACCTACCTACTTTTTCAGGTAAACAGCTATGGGATTGATAACACCAAATCCTCTGTATATTAAGTCACCTTGGCCTCCAAGAAAGCTTCAGAAACGAGCATGGGTGTGACTAGAATCAGGATAGTGCAGGGGCTGGAGTGGGGGGTTGAGGGTAAGAGAAAGGAGCCTGGTGCCTCCCCATTTCCTCTGAGATGCAAAGTCCTTGGATGAAGTAGGAAAGGAGTCCTCTGGGTAGAGTGAGTGAGTGATGTCCAATGGTGGCAGGTGACCAGGGGAAGAGAACATGGCTCTGTTAGACCTCCCTGGTCTGCCACCCACACTCTCTAAGGAGCCTTTGTAGGTTTGCCAAGCTTTCTGTGGGAGCCCCATGAATGACTTTCTTAGGGGCTTTTCAGCTTCTAGGCCTCCAAATAGAGCCTAGAGTACAGGCCAGACCCACCAGCCATTCAGAGTTGAGGAGTAAGGTGAGAAACCAGGCCATCCCTAACTCCTCTCCATCAAGTACTACCCCTGGGCCGTGCCACAGCTGCAAAGATGTACAAGCTTTTTCCTTCACCAGGAAGAACCAAGTCTGGCTCATGGCAGCCTCAGACATATCTGGAGTCCAGAGGATGGCACTGAAATTTCCTTACCGCTCTGCTAACGCCCACCCCACAGGAGGTTGGGTGAAGTCTACCCCATGTGGGGAGGCAGAGGTTCCCTTGGCTTGCATGCATTCCTCCTTTTTCTGCCATTCTTGCCTCGATGGCCTCATTCCTCTGCTTCTCACTGGATTCTAGCGATAGCTTTTGAATGTCAACAATCCATCCCATTTCCTGCCCACCGTCCCCACATTCATTGGTGAAGATGTTAAAAGGTAAGGGAGCTTTTCTCTTCCAGAACTGTGTTCACCTTTCACAGCTAAAAGACCCCTTCACAAGAGGTGGGAGAATAAGGAGGGACAAAGCAGGTGGAAGAGCCCAGAGGTGCCATGTTGTCACAGTAATGATGTTGGGTGGGAACAAAGAGGTGAACGTCACCAGACACCTGACCCCTGACACGTGGACAAGACAAGTGGCTTCTTACAGCCTAAATAAAATGTGCCAGTTGTCGGGCTTTGCCATATGACTGCCATTTACACAAGGGCTGTGCGGTCTTCCCAAACTCCCGCTAAGATGTCCTGGTTAGAAAAACAAATTACTGCATGCGTCCAGAATGCAGTCTTTCATAGGTCATTATCAGAGCGGGTCTCTTGTCAATACCATGCCTGATTGGGAGCAACTCTCAGAATCATTTAGTTTCTCTTGTCAGGGGAAGCTTTTTAACTGCTTCCTGCTGTCCTGTCATTTTGTGCTAACCCCAAAAGGCAGTGTTAAATTGATGTCATCTTTCCAATTTCTTCCCAGAAGCATTTTCCTTTCTGGTTAACAATGGAAACATTTGCGCAATAATCAAGGGAGAAAAGTGGCCAAACACGAATGCTATGAAAACCCTTAAATGGGATAAATGCATGTATTTATCTGCGCATCCCATCGTTCTGGATGACAGAAAGAAGGATGAATCTCATTCAGGTAGTAAGATAAGTAAAGAAAAATAAAGAAGTAAAGTAAAAGTGAGTCCAAACCAAGAAGAAACCCATTACCTTCAGTCAAGAAAAGGATTCGATTTGAGGCTCTTATAGAATTCCCACCAAACAAAAAATTGAAGAGAATGTTGATAATCATTGAGCTGGGTGAGAAATGCATGGCTTTCATTGTACAATCTATGTTTGTGTATGTTTGAAAATTCCCACAATAAAAAATTATTTTAATTGTGGTAGGAATTGGATAAATGAGCTCAGACATGTCAGGCAGGTCCTAGGCAGAGGCCATTTCCGCCCTATCTTTACATTTGCAAAGCTAGTGGGGCCCATTCCAATAACTTATAGCTGAAAGCATGTTTGAAAGTAAACTTTGTTTTAGACATACACGTGGGCAAAGGGTTCTCTGTGATCGACTCACCTCTGGATTTATATGAACATAGAAAACTAAGACCAAATGAACATAGAAAACTAAGGTTTTCACAAATGCTGGACATCTGAATTTTAGAGCTTAAATTATGCGTCTTCTTAAATGCAGGGATTGACAGGTATGCTTAGTTGCTTAAATGAAGACTCTTACTTCATAAGATTCCTAATTAAATGGGAAAGGCATTCTAAATTTTTGATCTTTGTTAATCATATCTGGGAGAACTTGGAAGTTTAGATCATGATTTAATTAGGGCATTCTTAGAGTTCCCCTGGTGGCAACCTAATCTAATTTTAGCAAATTTTAATTGCAAGTGCAAAAAGGGTTTATGTGGATTGGAGCTGAGTCTGAGATATTCTAGCTTCTGGAAGTAGCACCACCATCCCCTCCACCTCAGACCCTCCATTTAGCCATGCCTCACCCTAACAGTTTAGGGCCTAGGGCAATGGTACAAATGGTGACCTATATATTATATGTCTAAATTTTAGAAGTTATGTATCAAGCTAACAAATGCTAAATAAAATGTGTTCTAGCATTTTTTTTTTTTTAAGAGAGAGAGAGTTGGGGGGTGGGAGGGAGAAGGAGAGAGAGAATCTTAAGTAGGCTCAACGCCCAGCATGAAGCCTGACATGGGGTCAGTCTCAGAACCCTAAGATTGTGACCTGAGCTGAAATCAAGAGTCGGACATTTAAACAACTGAGCCACCCAGGTGCCCCTCTAGCATTGTATCTTGACAAATATGACTCATAGAGACCTGGAAGGCCAGATTCAGGTTTCAAACTCTTGGCTCCTCAGAGTTCTGTACTGGGGAATGTTGGTGATTGAGAGGACTCTAGCTTGTGGGTCCCTACCCATAGTTCATACCCTTTCCTTGACTTTATGTCTCCTCAGCCCATACATTCAACTTTATTCATCCCAGTCCAACAGCAAAGAGCTACACTTTGGCCACCCTTGGGGCCTACAGGTACACACACTGGTGGTATGTCTGTCCTCATGAGGAAGTGTGGCCTCGAGGCCATGAGAACAGAGAATTCCAGGATCCCAGATACTGCATGATGCAGAGATTGAGGCACTGGTTCTAGATAAGCATGTCCCCTTGCCTGATTTGCAAAGGTTAATGAAATCCATGGGAAAGAACTTTGCTTCTCCTCCATCGGGTGCTAAATGTTGGCTCAGTAATCTTTCCTCTTACACCCAGGGCTCAGTAATCTTTCCTCTCATACTTTCTTCCTGAATGATCTCATTGGTTCCATTGGCTTTATATCCCTCATTCATTCATCCAAGAAATATGCGTATTTTTAGGTACCAGTGATACAATAGTATACAAAACAGAAGACAAAAAATCTGTGTCACAGAGCCCTTCCTTCCATAAGGAAGATACGGCAGTTTTAATCATGATCCTAAATTCTTTGGTATTCTAGCTAATGCAAGGTGGAGTCAAAGTCTACTCTCTTGAGCTTGGGTGGTGCATAGAGCCTGGTGAAAGTGATGCTGTGTGACTTCTAAGGCTAGGTCATCAAAGGCCATGACCTTGGTCCCTGGAAATGCTCACTTCTGAGCTCCACATGGTCACATAAGGAAAAACACCCTGAGACCACCATGCTGGAGAGGACACGTGTTGGTATTCTGGTCGGCATTCCCAGCTGAGTCAGTCCGTCAGCCCAGGCATGAGATGGGAGTGGGAAGCACTTGGAAGTGAATCCTCCCGGCCCAGCTGTTCTAGTCTCAGCCATTTACGTCACTCCCAACTGAGGCCCCAGACGTTAGAGAACAGGAAGGTTCTGTCCTCACTGTGCATTTTCCAATACTGATCCATGATATTTGTGAACAGAATAAAGTGGTTATTGTTCACTCCACTAAGCTTTGGGTCAAGATGTACAGTGACTTCTAAATGTATGTCTCCAGCCCAGACGTGAGTTCCAGGTTTGTATGTTCAGCTGTCTTCTCACAACTCCACTTGGATTTCTAAGTGTGTGTCTGAAAATGTCCACTTCCAAAATGAAAGTCTTGATTACCACCACTGCCTCCCAACAACAAACAAACAAAAACAACTCATTCATCTTCCCAATCTTAGTAAAAGTCACGACCTCCAATCCAAATGCTTAAGATACAGTCATCCTGGATTCTTTTTCCATCATTTCCCAATTCTAATCCGTTAGCAAATCCTGCTGCTTTGACATTGAAAACAGATCTCTCATCTGTCTATTTCCCCTCAACTCCACTGCCTATATGCTAGCCCGAATCACCATTGTCTCTCACCGGAAACAGCCTCCTACCACATTCCCAGCGTCCAAACCTAGCCACTCTAGTCTGTTTTCCAAGCAACGGCCAGGGGGATCTTTCAAAAACATGAATCAGGATTTCCAGGCCAGGATGGTGCAGTGAGTGAAGGCTTCGGGGCTTCCTAACCACCGCCCCTCACCCCCACCACCCAATGCTCTAAACAGATAATAATGAGAACGTCATATATTATAAGTGAAAAACGGAAACAACAAAACTGGGATTAATCACAGAATAAACAAGTCCAGGAAAAGGAAATGGAATGACACACACACTCACCCACATGCACACATGCATACATGCACACACACACACAGACATAAACACACACACAGTGAATGGGATGGAAGCTCCAGCCTTGTAGTCTTCAGGTCTCAAAGCAAGCAGGAGGTCCTGGAAGGGCACATGTGCTCCATGAGATATTTCTTCTGAGGAGACCCCTGCTTGGAGTAGAGCCTGGGCGTGGTCTTCCAAAGTCCTAAAATGAGGTGGAAAAAGACCACCCCACTATTGCCTCTGATTATAGCTCCTGGCAAGCAAAGCATGGGGAAGTGGATGACACAGACACGTCTCTGAGATCAAGAGCCGAGCCAAGCTACCACTGGCTCTGCACCACCATCTGGTTCTGACCCGTGGGAGTGGAGGTCCAGGTGGAGGCAACTGTAACAGTATTAGACAGTGAGAGATACACGCAAAAGGATAGAGGTGTGTATTGAGGGAGGATCTCCCATTTGAAATAAGCCTGTACACTAAAAGTCCCATATACATGAAATAATCCAGGGCTAAGAAGGACAATAAAATAAGACATCGGAATATAAATTCTCTCTTAGGAGATCTGTGTGTCAGTTTAGTTATTGCTATGTAATAAAAATCACCCCAAAACTCAGTTGCTTTAAACAATTTTATAAAATATTCCAACAAAAACTTTCAGTATCAAGATCTATCAAATAGATAGATCTACTTGCACTAGAAAGAGAATAAGAATTTATGAACCACAATCAAGTTTCAAACAGAGAGAGATACATTTAATAGGCCTGAAGGGTGGGCCACTTGAAGTCAGATTGCAGGAAGTGGCCCTGGGGTCAAGAGGGAAAACAAAATCACCATAAGTAAGGAAGGTTGCTGTTCATTCTCATTAATGGGAATGGGCTGGGACAGGGGACAAGATGTATAAGGTTAGCAGGAAAGCTCCAACTGGTGAGGGCTCCTCTACACCACAGTAGGGAGGGAGATGTAGCCTAAAATGGGAAAATACATTTCACTGAGGGACTGAACATCTTTTTTGACACGCAAGCACAGACTCACACATGCATGCATGCACACATGCAAACAGAAGGAGAGTTCCTTCCAATCAGCTGGAGAGGTGAACACCCAAGTTCATGGAGTGCCTGGTGCCTCTGTGAACCTGACCCTCTGGAAGGCTCTTCAACACCAGGGCATCTGGGGAGAGAGTTTCAGATGCGGTGATAGCAACAGCAGTAGTATGAGAGAGGAAAGTGCCCAGGAGAGTTTCCTGCAGAAATAACTTTGTGGACTAGCGAAGTAGGAGAGGCAAAGTTATAGGTAATGGAAGCGGAGGTTACAACGAGTTAAACATGAGACAAATAAAACCAGCCTCTGCCAACTCTGGTGACTGCTAGAGAGATACAAGGAAGGGGGTGGGCTGAGGTACTGCCATTTGGTTGTGGTAGTCAATGAAGCTATGAACGTTAGGAGAAACAATTGAAGTAGCATCCCCTGGGAATGGCAAGCTGGGGGGCAAGAGGAAATTCAGTTAATATAAGAGAAGGATCTGGAAAAAAATATACAGTTCTTTGAGCACTAACTTGTAGATCTAAATCTGCAAAATTATTTGTGGCAGTCAGCCTCCAAGATGGATTGATGGATTGGATTGATCCCCATGTCCTGGTATTCACACCACTGTGGGGTTCTGCACACATTGACTAGGTTGCCCTGTGAAACCAATAGACTGTCACACAAATAATGGTGTGTGATCTTAGCTGCTGGGTCATAAAATACATCATAGCTTCTGGGATACAGTTTTGGGTCATTCACGCTATGCGCAGCCCGTGGTCATGTGGTAAGGACACTCAAGCCATCCTGTGGAGAGTTCCAAGTGGTGTGGAATTGAAGTGTCTTGACAATAGCCTTGTGAATGTGCCATCTTGGAAGCAGATCCTCCAGCCTCAGTCAAGCTTTTAGCTGACTGCAGCCTCAACTTTTCCTTAAGTTTTAACGAATGGTTTCTTAAATGTGCACAAAATTTTCAGTGTTAAAGCTTCCCCAGTGTATCCCGCCAGTTTTCACACCAAAATCTCTTGGAGTTACCTTCTTTCATGGGTTGCCAGAGGCTTCTCCTAAGCTTTGATATCCTATCTAGTAATAAAAACCTGACTGCTTATAAATAATATTTTTTAAGTGTCATTAAAATTAGGGTTTTTAAGAACTGTAGATCACATCACCCGGTACATACATTCCTTGGCTCTTTTTCTTACAAAAGCTGAACCAAGATTAAAAAAAAAAAAAAAATGCAGGGACGCCTGGGTGGCTCAGTTGGTTAAGTGTCTGCCTTCAGCTCTGGTCATGACCCCAGGGTCCTGGGATCAAGCCCCATGTCGGGCTCCCTGCTTGGCGGAGAGTCTGCTTCTCCCTCTCCCTTCCCCCACCCCCGCTTGTGCTCTCTCTTTCTCTCTCTCAAATAAATAATAATTAAAAAAAAAGCAGAGCATGGGGGGCACCTGGATGGCTTAGTGGGTTAAGTGTCTGCCTTCAGCGCTCAGGTCATGATCCCAGGACCCTGGGATTGAGCTCCCCGTCTGGCTCTCTGCTCAACAGAGAGCCTGCTTCTCCCTCTCCCTCTGCTCCACAACCCCTGCTCGTGTTCTCTCAAATAAATAAATAAAATCTTAAAAAAAAAAAAAAGAAAGAAAGAAAATGCAGAGCATGAGATGTTTGTTAGCAGAAACCCGTGATTATCTTTACCTGATTGAAAGGAAACATTACTCCCTTTCCCTTAGTAGTAGCTCTTTGAAGTCTAACTGCCATTACTGATTTTATATTTGATGGTTCTTTTGCAGTATTTCTACCTGTTGGTTAGTATGCTTCTATTGCATATGGTTTTTCTTATTCCTTTTTTTTTAAAGGATGGTTTTCATCCCTTTCCCATTGCATTTCAAAAAGACTTTAGAACATGAAATTTTAAAAACATTTTTAAGCAAAACTTGGTGTACTAACTTACCTCCAAACAGAGTTACAAAGTGATTTCATTACACTCTATGTATTGCAGGAGGAATCCCTTGTGGCAGAAAGCACCTGGAGAAAAAGCTGGATGAGTTATGTGCCTACAGTGGATACTCGTGGGAAAATGTGCCCTACTTAGTGCTGTCAGCAATCTTCTTTGAAGGCTTTCTGAGCATGGGATTTGATCTATTAACATATTTTATATGGAGTGCGAGAGACCATTAGTACTTAAAACATTGACTTTTGTGGATTTGACATTGTGGTTTTAAGAATTTTAAGGAAATTTCAAGAAAGTTAGTAATTTGTAATTTTGCTGAGGCAGGACATTTAATCTGCCTGTGAAGGCTAAGAGGCTCAACCCAGTGGGGCCACCTCATCATGCTCATCTCATTCCATCATCACCCACCTGGGAATTCTTTTGCACTGATGGTAGCAGATATGTTGTTTGCTCATAATGCGTTCATCCCCACCTTTCTCCTCTCCACTTCCTAATAATTCGTATGTTCTTTCAAGTTTCCCCTTCTCCTTCTCCATTATAGCTCAGTGTGGGCCTGGATTGGATTAGATCCAACCATTGTCATTGGTTTAGGAGTGACCATGTGGCTTAAAATACTGTAATCAAGGCAACCTTAGAAAATCTGGGTACCATTTAGCCATTGCTATGTAACACCTCCACCCCAACTCAGAGATGCTTTAAACAATAAGCATTTGCCATAGCTCTACAAGTCAGCTGTGTGGTTTTTCTGATCTCAGTTGGGCTTATCTATGTGTCTGTAGTCAGCTTCCGGTCAGCACATGGCTCTGCTGCTCCAGGTTGGGCTCTGTCATGCATATGGAGTTAGGCTGGCTGGAGATTAGTCTAGGTTGGGCTCAACCGAGATAGCTTGTTTCTGCTTCATGTTGTCTTTCATTGCCCATCAGGGTAGCCAAAGTTTGTTCTTAGAGTGGAGGCAGGATTCCAAGTGAGAGTGAAAATATGCTATTCTTTTGAGGCCCAGGCCTTGAACTGGCACCTTGTTACTTCCACCTTATTCTATTGGCAAAAGATCCATGAGGCCAGCCCACATTCAGGGGGTGGAGACACAGATTCCACTTCATGATGAGGGGAACTTACAAGCTCACAGTTGCCAAAGGCATGGTTTCTGGGAGGAGGTGGAGGTGGAGAACTGGGGCCATTTTTACCATCTGTCTGCGAGGGTCAGAGTGAAATGTCAAGACCAAGACTCTCTTTGTCTCACTTCTGGATATGAACAAGGAAGTGGATGGAAGCCCCTAGAGCTGCTTGCAGCCTTCTTGCTCTCATGAGGGAAGCCAGCATGAGGACAAGGACAGCATACAAGGGAAGACAGAACGAAAAGAATTGCAGAAGAGATGTGTCACAGCTCTCATGATCCTGTGGACACCTGGATCAAGCCACCACCCCTGGACTTTAGAGAGGCATAAGCCAGTAAATGCTGATGCCATTCCAGCCTGTGTGATTGGAATTTTCTCTTTGGGGAAATTCAATTGCAATTCAACAGGACAATACTTTGCTTCTCCTTTAAAATTGTACCTCCTCCCCAAAATTCAGCTGCTAGTGCTTCTATGAAAAGAATGCATAGATGTGTAGGGGACAGTTCTTAGTCAGAAAGTCAAAGTTAACTATAAATTAAAGAGTAAAATATCTTACTCAACAGAAGTTCACATCTGTAACTTTAATCCTATATTTATGGAATATTCAGGAGTCTGAATGGGTCACTTAAAATTTTCAGTTATAATTTACTGTCTCTTATGGAAAAAATTACATGTTTTAGTAGACACTCGGGCTGTTTTTTTCTTTTTTAAAATTATGTCTTTCGAAATGCTCTCTCAGTTTATTTTCTATTTCTGCCACAGTTTTATTGACCTTTGTGTTCTATGGCTTTTGTTAAAAATACTATTGGTATGTTGAATATGCTTTTCTTTTTTTTAATAATTTTTTAATTGTTATGTTAATCACCATACATCACATCATTAGTTTTTGATGTAGTGTTCCATGACTCATTGTTCGTGCATAACACCCAGTGCTCCACGCAGAATGTACCCTCTTTAATACTATTCACCAGGCTAACCCATCCCCCCACCCCCCTCCCCTCTAGAACCCTCAGTTTGTTTTTCTGAATATGCTTTTCTTAAACTAAACACAATCCTTCATGATTCCAACAAAAATTTTTAAAGGGCATTGAAC